AAATTCAACTATACAGTTAATAACATTGACATTAGAAAAAGGACGCATGAAAAAATCAACCTCACCTTGAAGTTGGGGCACCCAAAAAAATGATCTATTAGGGTTTCTAATGATCTTGGAGGTGTAAACAACACTGTGCCTCTCACATTTACACAATGGAGCAGCTCTCCTTCTTCCACATCTGAACCCAAATGAACTACTTGAGCTCCCCCTTCCAGAAGAGATATTCATGGCATAAAAACTAAGAACAACCCTAAATCGTACAGTATAAACCCACCTTCACTAAACCGTCAATCAATTTTCCCCAAATTCATGTGTTCAATCTTCGATTCAATCTCATGCTTTCTGGTTTAAGAACAACCCTAAACCATACGACGACGTTCCTTGGATGAAAGTGAATTGATTCTGACCAAGTGGATGAGTCTCTCCAAACGACGTCGTTCCTAAACCAACGTGGCGTTCAGCATGTCACTTAACGTGACACATCAGCACCGTCAGTGACACCGTGAGTTTTGGATTAACAGAAGGACTAACGTGGGTCCTGTTTCTCTTTGTTGGGACTATCTAACTAATTTATTTTTGTGAGGGACTAATTTGGGCACTGAGTTTTTTGTCAGGAACCAATTTGGGCATTTATTTCTTTTTCTTTTTCTTAATTAAGGTTTCTATATCTAGTTTCCAACAATCTTTTGCCTAGTAGAGCAATCTCAACCCGAGGCACTATAGCAAAATTCACTGTAAGCTTTTAGACAAGTTGTGCATAACAGACTCGTATCCTATAAACCCAATATATAGATATTGCTTGTATGAGTCTTCTATGTGATTACATTTCTATCTCAAATAATCACTTTCTAAATCTTTTGAAATGGTTTGGAGCAAACGTGTAGAAATTTACCTGCACCTAATCCAACAAGGAACATTTTCTGTTGATTATAAGTTTGCGAAGTGTGCATCAGGGAGCCTAATTCCTCGTTCTGCACACAGGAGACATTTGATCAATTTCTAGCTAATAAATAAAAAAATAGCTCAAATATTTATAAGTATAGTATGCACTCTTAATTGCATTCAAATTTTCCAATAACTGACTATAAAATGCAGAATTGTTACCCCAAACATATCAAAATCATATCCATCACGTATGTATAGTCAGTGGGAGCCAACCAGTACTTCTTTGCAACAGATTGAGACCTCTAAAAAAACATGCACTAATCAGCCTTGAAAAATCAAATTATTTTCAAAAGTTGAATATTCATGTTATTATTTTGATCCACATGAGTAGCATAATACTAAAGCATGATTTATTGCACTATTTTATCCAGCATCCTACCAGAAAACTGAATTGTCAGAGATTAACGACAATGTAAGACAATATGTGCGTGATTTGGTACCATTTTTCACCGGTGTATATATTTTGTTAGGAAGGAATTAGATATAAGAAAATAACATTCCAAATCCACTTTATAAAATCAACATAGGTAATGTAATGACTTGTGTGTAATACCAGAATATTTTTCCAGAGAGCACCAAGAATGAGGCACAAAGAGAGATATCACATTTGTATTTTTCACTAAGATAATAAGCTAAAATTTATAGAGTCCCTCATAAAGAGAAAAAGAGATTCATGAACTAGGAAAATAGGTTTATGACAAACTTCTTTCAGAGGTCCATGTGAAGGCTCAAGATTAATACCTGCTCTTTGTACAACATTCTGGGCCAGGCTGCGAACTTTGCTCATATACTCCAGCAAATATCAAGATTAATTACAACAATAATAATATATACTATAGTATTTATTATCAATGGCAAAAGAAAACTGTAAAGAATCTTGGAATACACCACCCAAAAGCTAGCTCAAAGGGTAGGAGTGTCCAAGGCCTTATAAAGGCCACATTAGTTATCCACACAATCAATGTGGGACTATGTATCTCAACAAAAACATACCATTAGAGCCTCCCGATTCCTCTGGGTAACGATCATCATTATTCATTTTGATGAGGTACGAAAGTAACACAAATTCCTTCAGAGAAACTGAAAGAAAAGAAAGAACAGATTGACAGTGCAAAATTATTAAAGAAAACAAACACACACTCACATTTCCACATTAATTGTGAACAAGAGGCACAGAAAAGAAGATGTAAAAGAGGTTTGGAGAGAAAAAAAAAAAATACCCAGATTAAGGGAATCGAACGAAGAGAGGTCAAAGAAATGGGAATGCAAATTAATTAGGAGCTGCATGCAGCTTATAAGTGCTTGTAACTAACCGCTAACGACCAACAAAACTAACGGATTGAATGACGTGGCATTGTGATGACTAGTGACACTTCCGTTCCATGTACTCATGCGTCATGCACTGCTTATAATTAGTGATGTTTTGATTTTGAGTACTGAGGCGGCGGCAACATGCATGGTAGTGTAATGTAATGACTAATATCATACATAATAATAAAAATTTAATTTTCTTATTTTATATTATATTGCATATAAGCTATATGTGATTAATAAATTAGAACCATTTGATGAAAATAGGATGGACGGTGGTTCAAGAAATCACTCTGTTTCCCACCATCGTTGTGCATGATTTTGTTTGCAATTCGTTTTTTCATTGTATATATGCTTGTTTATATGTGTTAGCTAGCTAATTTCACTCTCCGGTTTTAATTTATTTATCGAGTGTTCAACTCATCCAGTCATATGATATATAATGTTTGTGCACTTAAAATTCTGCATTACATATGTGATATGTCTAATTAAGCTTTCCCCTTATTAATTTTTTTAAGTTTTTTTTTTTTTTTTTTGAAAACATTTAAGTTGTGCTTCAAATAGCATTAATTCCATTTCAGGATTGCTTGCTTCTAATTAATAAGCTATGAAACCAGTAATGCCACATAAAAAGTTGACATGTCACCTTCACTGTACAATATACGTGAGTATATAAAGCGTAGCCCAGGAGGTACATACATGTAGCTAAGAGCGTTATAACAAAACTTTCTTATGAGTATAGCGTAGCCCAGGAGGTACATGTTGGATATATGCTCTTTTGGTCACTAAAGTTCTATTGGGTTTCAGTGACACTTGAGCCCATGAGGCTTAGGGTTGAGTTATGTCTAAGACCTAAAGTATATATTCACAGTTTTCTCCTCTTGTGCCTCTAAGGTGAACAGATCATTAGAAACAAACCCAAGAGGCAGACGTTCATCATCTGAACGGTTGCCCACACAACCATCTCATCCTCCTCGAGAGATAGTCTGGAAGATCGATCATAGAGGGAACAACTATTGTTCGTGGTCACACAACTACGCCCTTCCAGGTAATCAAAACGATGAAGGTTAATCTTTTCCCTCGTCGTGTCGGTTCGATGCGCTTCCGCGTTTCTGATGATATACCTACAGTACATACATACATGTAGCTAAGAGCTTTATAGCAAAACTTTCTTCAGCTTGCAGATTTAGATGAAGCCTGGAAATAATGCTTTGACTTTGACTTTGACGGGTATTATCCCATAAAAACTTGACGCTGGAAAAAGCTAATACAACTCTTTTGTTTAATGGACCAACTGAACCATGGTTTCTGCATACTTGTATTGTATCTTTCAACTCTGGTCTTGAATACAGAGACAGAATCTGGGGGGCTTCATTTTTTCTACTTAGGGGAAGATAGATTGCTCTGTTGATATCCTCCAACATTTGTGTATTAGAGTCGAATCCATTATTAGAGTGTGGTAGAAGACCTGAAAAACACTTATTTGATCATCAACCGGAACATGTTGAAGGAACTCTTTCTTCTTGTTGTCAATGATATCTCTCACAAAAGCACTTGAATCTTCTTTTGGAAAATTTGGGTTCCTCATCAAGTTGAGCTGAACAAAATTCAACTTTCCCTCTTCAACTTCCTTAAGTTGCATGCAAGAAACATATGATTAATTAATAAGATGTCAATAGATTGTCAAAATCTCGACTCAACATTAGCTTATCATAAAATAAATTGGAATATTTATTAATCTGATTAATTTAAGAAACATAAAATATATTAATTAATATTATCAACATAAAAATTTATATATTCTCGTACTTGGCTATATTAATTAATTTTGAAAATTATTTTATTTCAAAAATGATCTATCGATCGGATTAATAATCAAAGGAAAAACATTTTACGTAGCCATAATTTTAAAAACAATATTTCAATTTGAGCGTTTCAATCCAATCCAATATAACCTTGTTATTTGTTACCTCAGATTTAAGATAATTATCTAAGAATTAATTAAATTATTAAAAATTTATTATAAGTAAAAATAAATATATTTAAATCAATTATTTTTATTAAAATAATTAAAATAGTATTATCACGTTACTAAAAAAAATTCTTACTTACTAATAGTCAAACAACAAAATAATTTAATACCTCATTAATTTCCTAAAGCGACAAAATAAAAGCAACACGTTTTTTTTATTCAAAAACAACATATAAAATAAAGAGTTTATTTTCAATATATGACTAATATAAAAAAATTTACACTATCATTTGATTTTATATTAACAACTTCTGTGATAAATTTGTCAACGAGTGAAATGATTTTTCGTATCCTTCACCAAACAAAGTGGAAACGACAAATGGTGTAGGTGCGAGGAATAAATCTTTTGTTATTATTGTTGTACAAAGATTCAGTATATCTCACCAATAAAAATATTATTATGTAAGTTAAAGCTTTCTTTTTTCTGTCAAATTTTTTCTCTCTCCTATGATGTTTAATATTTTTATTAATGGAATGCATTGAATCTGGTTCAATAATAGCACCAAAAATTTATTCGTGAAACGAGATATATCACGAGATCAACAAACACATTGGATTTTTTCGACCCATTTTAAAACGGGTCCGGTAACAAACCCGGTTTTTAGGCCCAGTTATGTAGTTTTATCTTAATAATTAAAACTGTGCGTTTCCTTGTCGTGATGTTATATATAAGGAAATGCATATTGCACAGATATAAAGGATGAATGAATAGTTAGTTGTTTTGTTGGAGAGTGAGTGAGAATGTCAGAGAAAGAATCAGAATCAGAATCAATGAAGTTAGCTTCGGAAGAGGTTTCCGATGAGTTCAAAACCCTCGTCAGTTCCGACGATCTCCATTCCCTTAACCATTTGCAGCACACCATGTCAAATTCCATTCTCTTTTCTTCTCTTTCTTTATATTCTAACAATTCATCTAATTTTCCTATTGATTTCAATTTTCAGATTGGGGAGGTTGCAGGACAGCAATGCTGTCTTGTCACATTTCAATGAATTCTCCGAACATTGTTTTACTGAGATTTCCGGAGATATCGCTAGAAATACTCGTGTCTTGAAGTCTGTCAAATCTGACCTCGATTATATTTTCCAGAAACTAAGGTTTTTCCTTTCTTACTGTTTACTTCTTTATTGATCTTTCTTCAATTGCCTCAAAATAACTTCATTTTTTTACACCTATATTTGTCTCTGCTATCTCCTGTGGTTGATCTCCATGAAAACCATTGTGTGTAGGTTTTCTGTCACAATTAAGCTTAGTTTCTTAAATGCATTTCTCTGATTTCCCTAATAACTCAGGGTTACGTTGTGATTATGCTTAGATTTAGTTGAACTATTACACTCAAAAGTAACGGTGATTAAATTAGCATAAGGTTTCTCCGCTGCTTTATTGGCTCCTCAATTGGTTGAGATTTCAGTATCTTTTCTTTTAGTTTTAGTCCCACATATAAGTTTCTTACACTCACTTTTGCTGCAATGAAATTTTTTGAAATTCAATTTTATTTTGGGTTTCTAAGTTTCATAGTAAAAGGGAACACCTCTCCTATCTCTGCTTCTGGTTCCTATGTTTGTTGAGATGGACCTGATCTCAGCTTCACAAGCTAGTACTGATGATCTCAACTTGGAGCAATGCCTTCAAGTTAGGTTTACCGAATTTATTTAACCAATCAGCAACTAGAATTTTAGACAAAAATGGCCACTTATACTGTTAGAGAGAATTTTGCTTAGATGCATGTATAAATGTGATCTGTCTGCATCTTCAACTATGCATATTTGTAGATACCTATGCATCGCTCTGTCTTCAAGTTCAATAATTAAATAAATGCCTGAAATATATTAAAGAGTAAAACAAAAATAATTTCTGTATAACGAAAATTCCTAATTTAGTATACATATGCATTTATTGATATAGTATGTTCATAAAGACATGATAATTCATTTCCTTTTCCTCCTCGCAATGCCATCATCCATCTACTCAACTTTATGATATTACTCAATACTAAAATTGATCGTTAATCATAAATTTTAAATCCTCAAACTTTTTCGCTCTGTGGTAGTAAGCATTTTTCTTTATTTCTGTTCACGTGGATAGGCAATACATATCGTTATTTACATGTTCCCCACTGTAAACAAAGACGCCAAAGGTGCTGGACAAGGCACCGTAAGGTGTGCTGACCTCTTGCAGACTGAGCCTTAGGGACACCTTTATGGTTCATGAATGGCGAACCTTTTAGCTCCTTACTAGAATTTATCCTGTAGTAAGTGTTGATAACCTTTAAAAAAATGCCTGCCAAGCCATTGCGTGCTAGCCTAGCTAGCTGGCTGTTATGTTATTTGTAGCGCGCCTTCCCTCCTTCTCTCACTTCGGAAAGATTTTGCAGTCTTGTCTTATGATGACCTGGTCGAGAGAGTATGATACATCGGTGTAAAAGATGGAGTGGGATCTGTGAGGGTTCCATTTTTCGGAGAAAAGTGAAGGATATTCAATTAGTAATGAAAAAAGGGGTTTCGGGGATCCGTATATGTTGTTCAGGTCGATCATCAGGCACAGAAATAGCTAGAACTGAATGCAGAAAGTATGTCTAACTTGTTAATTGTGATACTAAAACAGGTAACGTAGTTAAAACAAAATGTAGTTTTGGGTCTTTGACTCTTGTTGCCTTAGGGTTTGGTAAACAAACCACAATTTGAGAAGAGGGAGATAATGGAGGAACACCAAGGACGGGTGTTACATATGTTGATGAAGATGTTGAAGATGAAGTTGTCTTTGCTGATGACAGTGAAGAATGACAGCAGAGTAATAACAAAGGCATCTGATAATAACATGAGTAAAGTCAACCCAAAAAAAAATGTGACTTCCTATAAATAAGAGTTGAGAGTTGGAAGAGGTGACAACTATGGAACGGAGTCTTATATGTTGATTCCTTGGATGCACTCTTGACCAGATTTTCTATTTTTTTAATGAACTTAGGATATCCTAATCTAGACTGTTAGTGTCTCTCTGTTATGAATTTTAGTTTTCAGGGCTGCCACATATATTTTGGTTATGAACATTAATATTTGATGAATAAGACAGATGATAAGGTAAGGGAAGATTCTTTCGTATGTGCTTGAAACCTCTTCCCCCACCCCCCTTTTTATTTATGAGGCATTTTTTCTCATTTATTTGCATTATGAAATCAAACGTTAAAGGTTGGCTCACCCTCTCTTTCTCGCAGAAGCATGAAGTCAAAAATTTTGATGACTTATCCGGACGCTTTTCCTGAAGATTCAATGAGCGAAGTCATTGATAGGAGACCTGATCTTGAAATGCCCAAGTAAACTAACGCTGTTAACGAGGAAGTTATATGAGTGCTTTTATTTTTATTTTTACCTTCTGGTAATAAACATCTTCGAGTATTAGTTCTCAGTCATTTTACCTTCCTTCTTGCTCTTAATAAAATTCTTTATACTTTTTCATTGCAACCCGAGTACGCATTACGCCCAATGATAAAATGTCATTTCAGGAAAAGCTCTGGGCTTTATGGACGCTTGTGAAAGAACAAGTGGAATAAAATCAACTCGGGTGAGCCTTTAAGTTGAGAACTACTCGGTGTGTGTTTGGATGAGTTTTTTTTTTCAAAAGCTCCTTTTTTTCTCGTTTTTAGCTTGTTTGGATGTTTACTTTTAAAAAAGCACAAGTTACAAAAAAAAGTCAAAAGCTTACTTTTTTCAAAAGTTAAAAATTTTAACTTCTAAAAAAAATAAAAGTCAAAAGTCAAATATTTTTTTCAAAAATTAAATATTTTTATACAAATATAAATAGCTTTAACTTTTATAAAAAGTATTTCTAAAATAAGAAAGAGTTCTTAGTACATTTTGAGCAAGTCATTAGAAACATAAGGCATAGCACCACATTCACATGCCCTTGGATTAAATTTTAATTATTAAAAAATAATTAAATTTAAATCGGATACATTAACACGCGAGTACTTTTTATAATAGTTCAGTGTAATTGACTAACATTTTTACTGTTTCCATTGGATTCATTTGGTGTGCATAACTCCTCGCGCTATGTAGCATTTCACTTTCATGGATGGTAGAAACTATTGGCTTAGCCTACGTTTTTCTCTAAGATAATGGTCATTTCACCGGAGTCATGTTTCATTAATTATGGAGGTGTATGACTAACGGGAGCATATATATAGACACAAGATGAGATGAGTTTTAACATCTATTAAAAATAAATAAATAAAAATTTATTGCACACAATTCGATTTCTTACTAGTAGTAGAAAGAATTCTCTTGCAATATGAGAATTCTTTTCACACACACACATATATATATAAGGTTATCTACGGTCAAAAACTACATCATTTTAATTAATGAAGGGTGTTTCTGTAATTTTAGGTGAATTAAAGAAGTGTGTTTCTGTAATTTTATTTATTTTTTTATCATATTCATTTTACTAAAACATCCTTCATTAATCAAAACGGCGTAATTTTTGGGTAGCTGTAGATAATCTTATCTAAAGTAGCTGTAGAAATATTTTTTCATACATATATATATATATATATGATTAACTTATAATGGTATAAAAAATAATAACTCTTACATCATATCTTAACTGTTAATTTTCGTGCACTAATGGTTCAAATTTATTGGATTTTATTCATTAATTAATTATTAATTTTTAATAAATTATAACTGTTATATACACTAAAATCAACGGTTAAGATTTAGTGTAAGAATAATATATATAAGATTATCGTCTCTTTCTCTCTGTGTGTGTGAAAAAATTGTTTGACAAGGCTTATTTTGTAAAAATTATTTTTGTTTTAATTTTTAAAATTAAATTTAGACAATATATCTCAGTTGCTTTTAATAGGGGTGTCAATTTTGACCTAACATAATGACACAACACAAACACGACATGAAAATTTGTGTTCAGGTTTACCCATATTTTAAATTTGTGTGGTGTTCGTGTTGGCAAAATATGACACGCAACAATTTGTGTCATATTGCATGTTGACATGCAAATATTCCTTTGACTCGTGTTGACATGCAAACATGCATTTGACATTTTTTTGGCTATTTAACTTTTTGACCAAATTGTATCTTGTTATGTCACGTCCGTATAAAAAGTGATTCGTGTCGATCTCAAAAACTCATAAATTTCAATTCGTGAGTTATCTATGTCATATCAACCCAATTTGATGGACATGTTCTTGTTGAAAGTTCTGAGGCGAATAAAAAATTATGTCTTGTTTGTATCGTATCAAATTCTTATTATATGAACCCAATTTGACACCCTAGTTTGAGTATTTTATCTCTTAATTTTCAAAACAGAACGCGTTTTACAGAATTTTTTTTTTTTTAAGAAAAAGAGAACACAATCAAAGAGACCTTATCTCTTTTTTACCCCAGAACGTTGTCGTTATACAACAAAAATATTTCTCCCCAACCCAAAACCCCGTTTTGATTTGAGAAACATTTAACCCATAAATTAAAGACAATCATCCTGCATTGTTAACATGAATCGCATCATGAAATTAATGGGCAAAACGGGAAACTTGGAGCCAATGAACAGGGTGCATGATACTATTCTTTAGACAAGCCAGTCGAGCGCAGAGTTGATAGAAAAAATTCAATACAAATTTTAAAAAGAAATTAACTGGACTCAGGATTAATGGGATAAATATTCCTCTAAACTGATATATGGATATAAAAGAAAAATATTGAAATGATAGGTTACTCAAACTGACACCTGAGATTTACTTTCACACAATCTTCCATATTGTATAAATTGATGGCGAAAAGTCTAAAATAATAAGTAGACTATGAACTAAACAATAACCTTCATAGCCATAAAACACCTATTACATAATAGATTGTCCACAAAGATATTCTTTCTCGAGTATGCGCAAGTCAATCATGAGATGGAAAATTAACAAACAGACTAAATTAGAAGAAAAACAAAAACCCAACTATATTTCAGTATTTCCCACCCTGATTCTACCCATGTTGAAAGTAACAAAAATAAGCTGCTCTGCAACAAAGTAGATCTGGATTTACAAGACAGGAAACAACCAACAAAATAAAAGAAAGAAAAAAAATGAGAAAGAAAAAGATAAAAGCCCGAACAAAAACCAAAAGATATAAGCATCTTAAGCAGAAACCCTAAAAACCCAAAACCCTAGTTAGGAGCTAACCACTGTAAACAAAACCCAAAGGAAGGGGGTTGGTGCTAGCATTCTATTAACTAATTCCGCCATGCCAATCTCAATATACAGATCTTTATCTTCACTAGTCAACTGATCATCATCTTCAGACTGCAAGAGAAGGCAAGACAGATCCAATCAGGTGGAACCAGGTTGCTGAGTATTATATAGCAAACGACCAAGATATGACATTGACCCACGATTGGACCACCACCTTTAAATACAGTAGAGCTTAGCAACCATTAGCAACCCCATTGGCTACAATCTTACTCTCAGATACAACTGGTTTAGCACCCTTTGGGGCATCTCCAGTTTTTGCAACAGATACATTCTCTGAAAGTTTGTGGTCATCACTATCCTTCTCTGCTAGGGTAGACTCCTTGAGCAGTTCTGAGGTAACTTCAGGTTTTTGTATATTAACTTCCCCGTTTATCTCAATCTTGTCATCAGCAGGTTTCCCTTCCCATACCTGTGTTAGTAGAATTAAGACAGCAAGAAAAATCTTAAGCACATGAGACGAAACATTCCAGAAAATTTCCAAAAGCATAAAACATATGAGCAGCAGCATAGAATAATTGAAATATGTCTTACCTGCTTTGGATATTGTTGCTTTGCTTTCTTCTCCAAAATTGTCTTCTGACGGGTCTCATAGAACCCAAAATCATCCAGAATGCATGTTTTGCTGGTATATTCCTTGAAAATTTTGATCAATTTCAGCCCTGGCTCCAGCATTACCTGCAAACATAAACTCTGTTGATCAGATGAAAACACATTATAAGGACCCAAAAACTACATGAGCAGAACCTAAATACCTCTTGTGTATCCCTACTGTTAGTGACGGGTTTGTTCTCATTGTTGTCCAAGGTAATGTGCCTCAGCAAATTGTTAGGAACATCCTTAACTATGTGCCACTTCAGAGGAAAACAACCATTCCACTTGTCTTGTTGCCAATACTCAACACTTCTGTTAAAATCAACGGGACCAATCATCTCCGCAAGCCCAACAAATTGCCCACTGGTGTTAACCTGCGTAGGCATTTAACAAATGAGATAAAAATTACCACATAAACAAAAGAAACTGATCAATGCCAGCACCCAGATGCTTACAGAGAAAAAAAGGAAAACAGGGCAGCCACCAGGTTTCTGCTGAGCCTCCTGATAAGCAGCATCAAGCTTCTTATTGCCATTTTGAGTACTGGCCCACACACTATACTTGATGCTTTTATGGATATCATCCTCGCTATAAGACTTGATGATAAAAAATTTGGCATCAGTATATTCTTCTGGAAAATCAGCTTTGTTATATTCATCACGGTCTGGAACAGTACTAGTTTTATCTTTATCCTCATCTGTGCTTAGATTGGCCGGCAAATTCTGCCCTTTGACTGCCAAAATAGTAGGTGCAAAACCCTTTTGGTTCTTACTTCCCTTGGCCCTAGGTCCCCTGTTCAGTTCATTCAAACCATCCATGTTCTCATTGCCATAGCCAAAGTAACCACCACTTCTTCCCCTAGTTTTGTATTTATTGTCAACAGCCAACCAAGCACGGCCATTAGTGCGAGAATCATATGCATGCGTTCCATAACCCATGCCAGATCTGACAGTGTTCCCATACTGACCATACAATTTGTTTGGATACATCCTATTTATGAAGCCAGGGGTGGCCCCCATGGCAGGCATTGGTCTTGGATGGTGCAAGCCCTAACATTAATAAAAACATTACATAGATTTAAAAACATTTACAAATAGTCAAAAAACCAGTCTCATAGAAAAAACAAGACACTGCTAAAATAAATTCTACCACAAATGATGGAACAAGCAACAAACCCTCAGATTGCAGACCACACTTGGAACAAAATAACAGACTTTAAAATATTATGCATACCATAAATTGGGAATTAGGACGGAAAGTCTGGTTCCTTGAAGCAGCAACATTATTGCCACCTGATATTGAAGAAGTGATTGTTGTGCTACTTACAGGTCTTGGCTGCCCGTCTGAAAACAGTGGGGCATCTAGCCATGGGAGAGGTGAGCGTACTCCGTCAAAGCCAAATCTCGGATCCTGATAACCTGAAGTAGGACGCCAACATGGCATGGTAACCCTTTCATATGAAGCATTGAAACTACAAGATGAATTTTGATAGGTATGTATAACAAGAGCAGCACCATTATTACCTTTGGCATTTCCGCCATTAGAGACACCATTAGAATTTCCATTAACTGCTTCAACAGAAAGAGGCTTTTGATCAGCAGCTATTGAGGTGGAAACATCACCCTGAGGGACAGCAGGAGTAGGTGTGAATGGCCCACTGGTTGGAGTCAAAGGCTGAAAATAGGGAGGATACTGATAGTGTTGAGGCCCGTACAACTGACCGTCGTTTCCCAGGGTTGGAACTGGAGACCCTGCTGGTGAATAGGGGCCATAGGGTGCATACCCATATCCATGGTGATACACCAGAGACCCATTATCCCCATAAACTCCCTGAAAATTCGCCAAGGTTTAATGTAAATTAAATATTAGCAACGAGTTCAAAGATCTTCCCCAGAAAAATTAGAAAACGGGAAGAAAATTTTACTTACAGAACTCATGTCAACTCCTTCAGGATTCACATATCTAGAATAATCATCCCACTCATTACCAGTCCCATCATAACCTACAAGAAATACACATTTCAGCTTTGCATAAAATGCTTATATTGAAGAATTATGCCCATCTCACAAAATTTAAACCAGCATCTTCTAACACGAATTCAAAGTCATTTTCATACAGTATTTACGCAGAAACTTACCACCGTAATAATAGGCAGTAGACGGGTAACCATTCGGAAGATAACACATGCTGGGATCAATAAAATCTTGTAACACTGGGGTTACAGACCGTTCATATGGAGGGATCTGGCCATTCACAGCATTTCCAGAGTCAACTGATCCATATTGATTGCCAGTAGCCTACACAGAAATTGAAAAATTAATTTAATACCACAGAAAGAACTGAAATCACATATAGCCAGGTAAAAAGATCTCATTTTATTCTCAGCTGCTAATATTATAATATTTCAAATGCCACACTAACATCAAGAGGGATGTAGTTCAATCACGAATCACTGACAGACATAAAAACCAAAGAATTTACCTTCTTGGCAGGCTCGGGAATTTCCAAGGCCTTGGGCTGAGTATCTAATGATAATTTTTGTAGCAAATCGGTTGCTTCTGTGTAAACATGAAAGTGAAGGAAGACAAAACTCTCGCGTAATCAAAGTTTACAGCAAGTATAAAACCAATAACTCACAACTTACCAACACACAAGAAAAAGAAAAAAGAAAAACCCCAATACCCAAAAACTCAATCGACTAAATTCAGAGAGGATTTCAAGCAATAAAGTCAATACCAATCAAAATTCAAGAAGACTAACAAAACACAAACATCAACACGCACACAACATATATCAGTAAATCGACCACTATACATAAAAAAAAAACCCTAAAACACTACCTTTTCAGCGAAAACAAAAAACCATCCGATCCAATCCGCGGTTAGCGAGACCAGATCAATAAATAAAGAACAAAACACGAAAATTGCATAGCAAAGGCAAAAGGAAGCAAAGAAGGATACGATCGGCGGGATTTGCAACAGTGGCCATGTCGGAATCAACCACGAGATCTTTTTCTTTTTCAGATGCGAAATAAAAAATAGCACCCCCTAAACCTGAATCTGGATCAACCAAATCAAAATCGAGGGTTTTAGCCCCAAATCTAAGAGCCGAGAAACCCTAAAAGGAGCTACAGATAGAGAGAGAGAGAGAGAGAGAACAATTGGTCTCGCAGCCGCCAAGGGTTTGGGTTTTTGGGGAGAGAGGGTTTTGTTCGTCCAAAAGCGATGATTCAAATAGCACCAGCACGCTCTCTTTTACCACTCTCTTTTGGTTACCCGCGGGTCACGTTGTGATCTCATTGCTGGTTTTTAATTGGCCGATCTGGACACACGGTTTCTCCCCATTGGATTATGGGCTTAAAACAAAAGTTATTGTTGCTTTGCTGTTGGTCTGTCACATGTGTTTTGGAAAATGTGACGTGTGAGATTAGTTTTTCCAATTTTGAATCTTGGAGATGCACCCTTTGGGCTAAAGATGGAAACCCTAATTAGAAAAGGACACGGATGTCCTCGTCCAGCTGGACTTGTGATAACCCTTCTTCGGTTTTTTTCTTTGGAAACCTTTTGTGTCACTTTAAGACAATATTAGGTTGATTTTTTTTTTACAAATTACATTAATTATGATTGGTTATATATTTTTGATTGAAGTATGATCGATGATATTTAGTATAATTTATAAGAATTTGTAAATATAACATTCCTCAATCATATGATATACACAACACTAAATAATATGCTAAATTTTGTTGTAAAAAAATTGCAATAATAAATTATAATATTTTTCTTAAAAAAATAATATGGGTTTTAGTTTTAGTCATATTAGGTTAGTGTTTAATGTATTAATATTAAGAACATGGAAAAAAGTTATAAAAAAATAAATTTGAATTAATTAGAAAATTAATAATTGTTGTTATTCATTTGGGGAAGAAAATTAGCCATGGTTATGATAATATAGTTTTATTTGGATGTGATTAATTTCAATACCAGTTTAGATAAAGTAAGGGGGTGTATTGGATTGAGATTTCAAAGGATTTTAATGGATTGTTTTTTAACAAAAAAATATGTTGGTGTTCGATTAGGATTTTAATGGATAAAGTCACGTGGTATTCAATTAGGATTTTAAAGGATTATTTTAGAATCTGTTGGTATTCAATCAGGATTTTAAACAATGGAATTACAATCTTGTGATATTCAAAAATCTAATGATTTTAATAGGTTTTCTATTGGTGTGGATTTCGTGAGACTTTTTAGTGAAAAATATAAATAAGATGCCTCTCTCACAATCTCACCTCAACCCCTAGGATTTCTTGAGATTCTTCTATTGTAGTGTTTTCTTCTTCCTTTGGTAGATTGACTGTTCGAAATTGGGTTCCGTCATGGGAGCTTCGTCCAAACTAAAAAAAATAGCATATTTTTGAGTGATTTTCATCACAAAATAACCCAGAAACAACAAACCAACGAGATTTTAATATAATCTATCTCAAAAATAACATATTTTTGAGCCATTTTTGAGAAATTTTGGAAGTTTAAAAATTGATTTTTAAAGTTATGGGTTGCGATTTTTCTTGGCACAAAAATATGCTTTTTGTATTAAAAAAAACATAAATTAGTGAAAAAATAACAGGGGAACTTTCGTATTATTTTCGTTTTACATCAATGAAACAATATCAATTTAAAGAAAGATTGAAACTTTCATAATATGAACTCTATATTTCGTAGCAATACATTCATGAACGAAATTCCTTCACTATAGGAAACGATTTCAAACAATTTTTGTGTCAATAGATAATTAAAAGTTTTTTCTCAAAAGTCCCGAAGCAATTTAAGGTCTCAATGTATCGATTGAAAAAATTTGAGAAGTTTTCTAAACTTTCATGTAATTAAACCCAAAATTTCATATTCAAAATTTTCTTAATATTCAATAAAAATATGCATATGATATATGGTTAGAAAATTCCAAAAATCCCAAGGTTTTCAAGATCAATTGCAAAAAATTCCAAACGAAATTTTATCATGAACTTTAGGTTCTATATGCAAATTTAAAATTATTTTTATAATTAAAAAAAGTGGGTCTTATAATCATATATGCATAGCTTTGATACCAAATGAAGAAGATGATTTTCGATCCATTAGATATGTGAAAAGCTGTTGTTTAGTAATTTTGAATGTTTGTTAAAAATTATATTAATCTTTAGGGCAGGATATATTTATCACCAAAAAAATTTACCACATTTACAACCAACCTAATCACCATTGATTTCCTTCAATCTAACGGTTATAATTTATTGGGAATTAATAAATACGACCTAATAATTTTCAATAAATTATAACCGTTAGATTGACGGAAATCAATGGTGATTTAGTTAGTTGTAAAGGTTTTAAACTTTTTTTGTGGTAAGTATATCCTTCCCCATTATGTTTTACTGATGGAGAAAATTATATTTGGTTTTACTTTTTTTACTAACTAGTGAATTACTCGTGCCGCTGCACTGGAAAAAAAATTGGTTTGTTTGGCATGGTGGGTCGGCCCTCCGGGCCGAACTCATTTTGTCAGTATTTCAAAGGTCTCAAACAGTCATTTTTTTAAATAACAAAACGGTCATTCATTGTTACATTAAAAATATGAAAGAAAATAGGATAATAAAGGTCATATCTTTGAAGATAGATAAGGAAAAGAGACGCGAATAAACAGTCATTTTTTTGTCTTTACCTGTACCATACAAAGAAGTTATATCTTTGAAGAAAGAACCCAATATACTATAGCAGTCTTTGAAATACTTCCTTGTAAACTATATTAAGGGTACTATTCGTAACGCAGCCATTTTCATCAAGTATTAATATCTTCAATCCATGCTTACTCTTTACTCTAGACAGTGCCACATATAATTGCCCATGAGTGAAGACAGGCTTAGGGAGATAAATTGCAACATGTGAAAGTGATTGTCCTTGACTTTTGTTGATAGTCATGGCAAACGATACAATCAAGGGAAATTGTCTTCTTTGGAAATTTACAGGAAATGTATGACTCGATGGGCTCATCGTCATTCTAAGGATTAACACAGTTTCCCCTATATTGCTTCCTGTAAGTACAATTGCCTCAACAACATGATTCCCTAATTTTGTAATAAGCAATCTCGTGTCATTGCATAAATCTCTCGTCTGATCAATATTTCTTAATAGCATTACTGGAACTTTAACTTTCAAGATTAATTTATTATCAGGAATCCCTGAGCATGATAATGTATTTAAGATCTCAGGGGTGATTTCATCATCCTCAACAGAGGAAGTCCCACCTTCACCAGGAATCAAAAAAGTCCTTTCTTCACCAGGAATCATAGACATTAGGTGCTCGTTTAGCATAGCAACATCGGACAATTTAGGAGTTAGAATAGCACGTTCCTTAAAGAAGGTCTGATCCAAAATATTATCCAAGAGATTCGGATAAACAAAATTAACCATATCCGACAGCGGATCTTCCGATTCTCTAATCAACAATTCATCTGGAATTGTTATAATAGATTCTCCATCAACATCATCTCCAAGATTACCATCCCCAACTTTAAGTAGCCACTCAGAAAATTCTTTTATTTCCTCTAAATTGTGAGCGCTACTTCCAGAATTAAGATGTATGTTCTTGGTCAAAGTTAATAAATGACAATGGGACTATAGATGAGAAGAATTGATGGTTGCATGAACTATATCTTGTCTGCTGCCATGAGGAATGACAGGTAATATTTGCCGAAAGTCACCTCCTAGAACAACAACTTTTCCACCAAATGGCATATCAAACAACTTGTATCAGAAATCCTAAGAACATCTCTCAGTGTCCTATCCAGAGCCTCAAAGCAAAATCTATGTACCATTGGAGCTTCATCCCAAATGATTAACTTTGTTTTTGACAGCAACTCAACTATAGTAGATTTCGGTCTTATATTACACGTTGAATCTTCGTTGATTTGAATAGGAATATGAAATATAGAATGCGTTGTTCGTCCTCCAGGAAGCAGAAGGGAAGCAATTCCGCTAGAAGCAACATTAAGTACGATTCCAGCTTTTGATCTAATAGATGCTGAAAGAGTATTCCAAATAAATGTTTTTCCTGTACCACCGAACCCGTATAGGAAAAATAACCCTCCATTACCTGTCGTAACTGCTGAAACAATTTTATCATAAACAGCTTTCTGCTCATCAGTGAGGGAATTAATTAGTCTTTTATGCTCTTCTTCCAAAGCAAATCTGTCATACATTAATTCATCCAACACTAATCGATTTTGCATATCAAGCAAAGTTTCACTATTGATGTGTGGCATTGACGGATAATCAGAGAGGCATTTCCCATTGCTCTGCAGTACCTTATCAATTTCTTCAAGAGTTATGTTTTTTATAGACTCTTCTGTAAGAATTGCATCTGACAAAGCATAAAATTCAAAGGAAAAAAATTAAAAAATTAACAAAGATAAAGTAATCAAAGAAAGAAAAGAGAGCGAAATAAGTACTAAAGCATCATTTGCTGAATGCGGGCAAAAAAAAAACAAAATAAGCACTAAAGCAACATTTACTGAATACGGGCAAAAAAAGCTAATAAGTACTAAGGCAGCATATGCTGATTTCGGTTAAACAAAAAAAAATGAATGAAATATTATTATAACACGCACCTTGACGTCCTATTCTTTTCCTATGCCGATAAATAACGTCGTTGGATAAAAATTTCCAACACTCTTCCCAAACTTTTTCAGGTCTGTTCATTGAGTTGGCAAATAACAACAGAGCAAACAGACACCTAAGATAAGCAGCAGATCCCCAGGAACTTGCCTCCTTAATTGCATCAATGTACTCATTGTCATCATCCAGAAGTCCTAAAGAATAGCACGCATCCTTAAATGTAGGAAAAACCACGCCATTGATCGTTCTAAGATCTTCATAACTGGTGCAACCTCTTTGAAAATTAACCAAGGTGCTAAGATATGAATCTTCTCCATTATTGGCAGAAAAACGATTTATCCTTCCAATGGAAAATCCTTTTTTTCTCGGATTCCATTCATGCGTTTTTTCTTTGAAAACAAATTCAGTCGGGTACTCTCCATAAGTTAGATGCCTACCTTCTAGATATTTTTTATTTGCATCCATCCAAGACTAAAAATTGACAGTCTAGACTCCGCCCTTGTCTTTACATCATATAACGAATCATTATCACTGAAAATAATGTTC